AAATTGGAAGTTTAAGAAGTTAGAATGAAAAATGATAATTTTGAGGTTTGATTCCTCGTTTATGATGTTATTTTGGCGATTTGATCGCACGGTTAAGTTCGTATGAGGTTGTTTAGTTAGTATGTGAGTTTGGTTAGGAGCCCGGAGGGCTCAGGGGTGTTTCGGAGGTGTCCCGGGGTGTTTTGCACTTAGGAAGTGTAGCAGATTTTTCTGCAATTTTTTTGCAGCAAATCTCTTCTTCGCGATCGCGGACTGCATCTCGCGTTCGCATACCTTTGGGTCTTCTCTTCTCTGCGTTCGCGGAACAGCCCCCGCGTTCGCGGAGTTCCATCCCTTCCTCAAACGCGATCACATCTTCCCTTGTGCGTTCGCGTAAGCCAACCCAGTACCGCCCACCAGTTTTCCCTTCGCGTTCGCATCACCCTAATCGCGAACGCGATGCACCCAGCTTCCCCTTCATCGCGAACGCGACCCTTGTGTCGCGAACGCATAGAGTAAAGTTGTTCAGTGATTTTTTTAAAACCAGAAACAATACATACGGGTTTATTCCCAATTTTCTCACGAGCTCTCTTCTCTCCCAAGCTTTAGGAAGCCATTGAAGCCCCCATTCTTCAAGACCACTTGGGTAAGTAATTTCCTACTTATTTCCTTCATTATCCTTCATTAATTAGTAAGTTTCCAAGCTTAAATCACACATATTAGGGTGTAAATTGGGGAAATTGGGTAGAACTAGGGCTTTTCAATTTTCTTTGATTTAGACCTCGTTTTGGGGTCGAATTTGAAAACAAATTGTATATTCGGGCTCGTGGGGGAATGGGTGATATGAATTTGGTTCGAACCTCGTGTTTTGACCAAGCGGGCCCGGGGTCGAATTTGGAATTTTGGGAAGAAAGCTTAGAATTTCATATTTAGGCATTGGGTTTAGTTTGTTTAGCTATTATTAATATTTTAAGGTCATTATTTCATAGATTTGACTGTGTTGGAGCCGAATTCGAGGGGTAAAGCTATACTAGAGGCTTGAGTTGAGTTTGGAGCATTCGAGGTAAGTGTTTGATCTAACCTTGGCTTGCCTAGCTCCGACAGTAGGCGCCATCACGACTCCCGATGGTGGAAAATCCGGGTCGTGACAAGTTGGTATCAGAGCACTAGGTTACATAGGTCTCGCTACTCTGAGGGATCGGTACAGAGACGTCTGTATTTATCGCCCAGAGGCTACGGAGTTAGAAAATTTCACTTTTGTTCCTTCTTGTCGTGCGATTCTGTTTCTCAAATACTGATTGTCTTTCTACTCTGTTCTTTCGCAGATGGCGAGAACACGTGCTTCCTCTTCTACCGCGAAGCAGCCCGAGCCCCCAACAGCAGCTCCTACGAGGGGCAGAGGGCGAGGCCGAGGCCGTGCCAGAGGCCGAGGTAAGGGCAGAGCTCAGCCCCGAGCAGCAGTCCCAGAGGTGGAGCCTCATACTGATTATGATGAGGAGGTTCCAGCCCCAGCAGCTCCGGTGGGCCCAGCTCAGGTCCCAGAGGGGTTCATAGCCACCCCAGTTCTTCAGGACGCTCTGGTCAGATTGGTAGGCTTTGTGGAGAGCGTCACTAGAGCGGGTTAGCTTCCAGTAGCACCAGCCACTTCTCAGGCTGGAGAAGGAGTCCAGACTCCTGCTACACGTACTCTGGAGCAGGTAGCTCCCCAGGCACCGGTTCCAGTGGTTCAGCCAGCTGTGGCAGTTCAGCCGGGTATTGTGACTCAGACCGGCGATGGAGCGGCTATGTCCGCAGATGCTTTGTGGAGACTGGATAGGTTCACCAAGCTCTTCACCACCACATTCAGTGGTGCTTCTTCAGAGGACCCCCAGGATTTCTTGTATAGCTGCCATGAGGTTCTTCGGACTACGGGTATTGTAGAGACCAATGGGGTCGACTTCGCCACTTTTCGCCTAGCAGGATCCGCCAAGACTTGGTGGAGAGAGTATTGTTTATCCAGACCAGCAGGGTCTCCATCATTGACTTGGGACCAGTTTGCAGAGTTGTTTTTAGAGAAGTTTCTCCTAGTTACTCAGCGAGAGGCTCTTCGCAGGCAGTTCGAGCGCCTCCAGCAGGGCTCTATGACAGTCACTCAGTATGAGACTCGGTTCATTGATCTAGCACGCCATGCTATTGTTATACTCCCCACCGAGAGAGAGAGGGTGCGGAGGTTTATTGATAGGTTGATTCAGCCGATCTGTCTCCAGATGGCTATGAGAGCCGGGAGTGAGATTTCTTTTCAGGAGGCGGCCAATGCGGCCCGTAGAGTTGAGATGACTCTTGCACGGGGAGGTGGTCATGGGCCAGACAAGAGACCCCGTCATGCAGGTAGATTCAGTGGTACCTCGTCTGGAGGTGGGGATTCTTATGGTAGAGGCCATCCTCCGAGGCCCTTTCAGTCAGCCCTACAGGTCTCACATGGTACTTCAGGTGGTCATGGCTCTCAGCCGCAGTCTTCTGACCAGCAGCTTTTCAGTTCACCATCAGCACATATCAGCGCACCGCCACTCCGTTATTCTCAGCAGCCGAGGGCTTGTTACACGTGTGGCGACACGAGGCACATTGCTAGGTTTTGCCCTCGAGCTTCGGATAGCTCTCAGCAGCAGGGTCCTCGCCCTATGATTCAGGCATCAGGTGATCCACAGGCCGCCCAGCCAGCTAGAGGCGGGGGTAGAGGCCATAGAGGTGGAGGTAGGGACCATAGAGGTGGAGCTCGGACCGCCAGAGGTAGAGGCCAGCCAGCAGCCGATCGTCCCAGAGATATGGTTCAGGGAGGTGGGGCCCAGCCCCGGTGTTATGCTCTTCCAGCCAGGCCAGAGGCTGAGTCTTCAGATGCAGTCATTAAAGGTACTATATGTAAAATGATGTGGGCAATACACATAAAAAAGGATGCGTTATGGATCAAATGGATACATGCTATGTACATAAAGAAGGAAGACTTTACTGTGATGCAGACACCAAGGCAAGCTAGTTGGTTAGTCAAGAAGATCTTTGATATTAGGGATTGGTACAAGAAGATAGAAACAGTTGCAAACATGGATAAATTATGTGTGAAAGGCAAATTCAGTATCCACAAAATATATACTCTATCAAGACCTCAGTACCCTAAAGTTGAATGGAAAGCATTGACGCTGGGAAATGGTATTCCTAGGCACAACTTTGTCTTGTGGTTAGCCTTAAATCACAGACTTACTACTGTGGATCGCCTTGCAAAATGGGGAATTCAAGTAGACCAAGACTGTGTATTATGTAAGAGAGGACAGACTGAAAATATGGAACACATATACTTTGAATGTCAATATACAAGGTATATTTGGAGCAAGCTGCTGGCTTGGATGGGGGAAAATCACCAGATAGGCACATGGCTTGAAGAGGTTGCCTGGATGAGTAAACGAGCAAGAAGTGGTCGAGCCCAAAACAGCATTCTGGTCTTCTTGTTTGCTGCAGTAACGTATCAAGTATGGACAGAAAGGAATATGAGAAGATTTCAAGGGAAGGGGAAGGAAGCAGAGAGAAAGATTAGAGACATTGTCCTTCAAATCCATATTAAAGGACAGCAAAATGCGAAATGGAAGAAGAGACTTGAGCAGCTGAATAGTTTTCCATAGGAAGTATATGTCTGTATTTGGTTGCTATTGTATGTTGAATTAGTCAGGAGTGTTTTTCCAAAAAGTAGTTAAAGTGGTTGTATTGATGTAATGAGTCTAACTCTTGAGTCCTAACGAGTTAGAGGCACTGTATATTTGTTCTTGGTTAAATAAAGTTTATTTTGACCCAAAAAAAATTAATTTTATTTTCTCTATGGAAACTTCTATTTGAATAAAACAAAATTAGTAATTTTTCAAAATGAGAAAAAGATTGGAAATGAGCATTTGCACTGCACAAAGTCTAATCAACACATGCATAGTGCATTTAAAGGAGAATTGTGGCTAGAGGAATGTGGGGTCCATGTGTATTTTCGCATTTAAGAAATGCAAACATGAAATTTTTATGAAATGACATTTATGCCCTTGGTCAACCATATATATATATATATATATATATATGTGCGCGCGCGCTTGTGATCATAAAATTTATTTTCCCTAAAAAATATGATCTTGAAAAATGCTTCCACCTGAAAACATTTTTCAATGTTTGGTGAGAGAGAAATATTATTCAGAAAAAATATATATTTAAAATCAATATTATATAAAAGAATTTAGAACTAAAAATCAATAATAGTCTAAGGGAGTAAGTAACATAAAGTTCAAAGTTTATATAATTGTAAGGAAGCATTTTTGGTATTTATTAAACAACAAATAATGCTTGACCAACTTATTAGCGGACCAACAAATAAAGCATTGTTGGTATTTATTACTCCCTTCATCTCAAATTATCTGTCGGATTTCTAAAAATAATTGTCTCAAATTATTTGTCATTTTAGAAGTTCAAGACAAACTTAATAATTTTTTTTTATTTTAACCTTAGTAGTAATTATTTTTGAAAACTACAAACATCTCAATTATGGGGTAATATTATGATTGTTCAAATATCAATAAGACATAAATAAGAGTAAAATAATCAAAAATACCTCCTAATTATTACTCCCTCAGTTTACTCTTACTTATTCACTGATTTTGCACACTCCTTAAAAAATAATAAATAAAATGCATAATTTACCATAATACTCATATTAATTGGTCTATAGTCTTAATGAATTTGGGAAAATAATTTGGAATGAGTAATTAGTGCTAAGGACAAAACAGAAAAAATAAATTATTTTTTTCTTGATATGCAAAAAATGATAAGTAAAAATATAATTTATTTTTAGAATATGTGATAACTAAAAGTGAATGGAGGGAGTATTTTTTTAGAGGGCATGTAAAACAAAAACAGGTAAGTCCATTTAAAAAAAAAAAAGAAAAAAGAAAAAAAGAACTGCTTGTAATGAACCCGTCGGAAGCGTGAAACTGCGTTTTACACTTGTGTTCAGTGAATGAATAAATGACAGATGTGAAGGCCCACAAAATTAGGAAAAGAGAGTAGTTTTGATGGCTCCATTTGCATTTGGTGCTACCAAGATTCACTCCACCAGATATTTTTCACTTCCTTATACTTGTAGTGGCACTAGCTTTAACCCCATTTGCTTATTATTTTTCAAGAACTTAGCAATTGATTCTCCACCAAATTTGTTCTGTAACTCCATTGCAGGTCAGTCCATACATTTTACTGGGCCTTAGTTTCTTTCCAGATCTTGAGAAAAATGAACTGTTTGAAATGAGTTTTGATCTTTTGTTTTGGTAGTTTAGTATACTGTTGCTGGTCTAACATTTTGGTATAAGTGGATTCTCACCATTTTCTTCTGAAGTACTAGTAAGTAAAATTTGAAGTGAAAAGACAAGCTCATTTCAGATAAGTTTATTAGCTAGCGTTTCCCCGTAGATCCCAAATTTGTTTTGAAAAATCTGATTTGGGTGAAGTTTGGTTTGAAGATGAAAATGTGTTTGGACATACGTTTTCAAAACATATTTTTCAACTTTAATTTGGAAAATATAATTCCCAAGTTTAGGGATTAAGTTTAGGGATTTTGGCCCAAATTCAGCTCAATAGCTGATTTTGGGATTTGAAATTTGGGATTTGGGATTTGGCCAAAATATGGGCAAAATTTATGGCCAAACGTTTTGAAAATAAATCCCAAATTTATTTTGGCAAAACTCATGGCCAAACGGGGCCTTAGTAAAGTTTTTCTTTGCTGACTTTGTGAAATCTCTATCACAATACGCTTCTTTTGTGTGATTACAATGATAAGAAAGGTAAGAATAAATCAGTTTGAACAATTGGAGTTGTACAAATATTTCTAGTCCTTTCCTTTTTCTTTTTTATTTTTAAATGTTGCCTTGACCCTGGAGATGGAATATAGCACATAGAAGTACAGTGAGAGAGTGTTCGCACACGGCGAGTGTTTTTTTTTTTTTTTTTTTTTTTTTTTTTTTTTTTTTTTGCGTGTGTTAAATAGAGTTGCGCTAAATGAAAGGAATGAGGATTCATATTGCAAACCCCAACTTGCTTGGGACTGAGGCGTTGTCGTTGCTGTTGTTGTGTGTGTTAAATAGCTGCATTGTCTGGGTCAGCGTAGACACCTCAACTAATCAACCGTATACTAGCTACTCCTAGAGGTATGGGGTAATTCTATCAATCAAGGCTTAGGCAGATAGGCAGAATTCATCATTTGGTCTATATTGATATTCGATGCTAGTGGTACGCCGTTCGGAACTTGGTGGATGATGGGTCACTCCCAGTGGCGGAGCCACCTTATAGGAAGGGGTGTCAAATGACATCCCTTTGTGGGAAAAATACACTGTGTAGGTAGGTAAAAAAATAGATTATATGTATATATACTATGTATTGACTCCCCTTAATTTCCTGGTATGTTTACTTTTATATATTTTAACATCCTTTAACGAAAATTCTGGCTCCGCCACTGATCACTCCTATAACCTTCTCTACTTAAATACCAGGCTTTTGTGTGTTGCAGGGCTCGAAACTGTGATGTAAGCCTAACCCGCACATCATAAGTTACCTGCTTACCGCTAGACCAAAGCCTCGGGGCTGTTGATATTCGATGGTTGGTACCCAAGTTGTTATCTCTTTTCTACTTCTAGCCTATGCCTCGGGAGTTGGGGCTTGGTGAGGCAGAGGGCTATAACTTGTAATCTAAAAGAATGATAGTGAGCTACCAAAGTGGTTCCTAATAGTACTTTCTAAAACTAAAAAACATATATATATTTTTCGACATAATAACCCAGTCTTTAGGAAGTATAAGGAAGTGATCTGAATTTTGATTGGAACCGAGCTTTTGAGAAATCACAGGTTAGCATCCTATTAGTCCAAATGCAATATACTAGTTTTAAGACCTCATCCCAGATGCCTTCTTGTTTTTGAAGTCATTAGAAAGGGTTGAACTGTTTAATCCATATATTCTCCTGCATATATAGTGCAAGGGCTAGAGAAAAGCTCCTCAATAAGCTTCACTAGATTCCAGCTGCGCACGTTGCCCTATAGATATAGGTACGGTATTCTGAACATTATTTTCATTTGCCTTCTTGTTTTCCTCTTATTTCTTGGACCGAACACCATCATGACCAAACTTAAAGGAAATTAATGAGCAAGTCTTGATCATAGTGATCGACAGGTTTCTTTTGCTGGTTAAAAGTAAAGATTGGTGAGTTAATGTGGTAAAATTGTAGGAGGTCATGTACTTGAAAATGTCTAAATCTTACCAGTCTGGATGATAATTTACAAGAAAAACTAAAGACAAAAACTGAAATATGTACACTCATATATCACAACAGCGCTTAAGTTGTTACTGTCCTTGAATAAAGTGCTCATACAACTAAATATTGAACAATTACATGAAATTTTACTCTTTGATTTGAAAGTCAGAAGGCACTTCCTCGGAACATCTTTCAACCTCAAAGGATACTAGCAATGGCAGTTAATGTAGAGAAGGCAGCTCCAAGGTACCTCTTTCTTCCCGTGTCACTTCTTTTAGATATTGTTCTTTTTTCCTCTCCGCACAGGATTCTAAAGGAGAAAATGTTAGAAACTTCGATACTGAATTGATGGGAGATGCTTGTAGGTATGCGGTGGTTACAGGAGCAAACAAGGGAATTGGCTTTGAGACTGTCAAGCAGCTTGCTAATTCAGGTGTGACGGTTATCTTAACAGCCAGAAACGAGAAGAGGGGAATGGAAGCAACATCTTTGCTTAATAAACAAGGTTTTTCAAATGTCGTTTTCCATCAGCTTGATGTTCAAGATGCTCAGAGCATTGAGTCGTTGGCAAAGTTCATGCAAACACAATATGGGAGGCTTGATATTCTGGTAAGATTATGAACGGACTAATTTCTCATGATAGTTGCTTAGAGTTATTGGAGATAAGTTTCCATCTAAGCACGTAGTATGAGATAAACTTTTTATGTTTGGCATAAGATTCAAAGACTTCTGGTGTATTGCTTTCGATTCAATCTTGAAGCAAATAGTGCAAAATTTGCTGATTACGTTTCTGCAGGTAAACAATGCGGGAGCTTCTGGAGTTGTAGTTGATGAAGATACCCTAAAGGCATTGAACATAGATCCTGTAGACTGGGTAAGGTAGTTTGTTTTATGCTTAATGTTTTATGATGGATTGCACATGGTAATTGAGCGATATGTGTTTCAATCCCCTATATAAGTAAAAAACTGATCCTCAAATTTGAGGTGGACGATAATCCCCTTGTTTGGTTTCTCGTTGTGCTCTGAACTAGATTAGAGGGATTGTTTTATGCGGTAACCCATAAGGATTCCCATCCCTCCTTATTTCATCCGCAGTCGCTTCACCACTTCTGACCTCTCTTCTGCTTTCTCATTTGTACTAATCATGCACTTGCAATTATTTTTGATAGAGCAATTATTACTCCATATTGCTGTAAATGGGATTTACGCCGTGTACTTATTATTATAAACAGTTAGCAGGGAAAGCTGCCAATGTGGTTCAAGTTGCAATGAAAACAACCTACGAGAGTGCCAAATTATGCTTAGACACTAATTACTATGGTGTTAAGAATGTTACTGAAGCTCTTCTTCCACTGCTACAAAATTCTCCTTCAGCAAGGATTGTTAATGTCTCCTCCCTTAGAAGTGAACTAAAGGTAAGTTAGACCATTGTTCTTGTCATTTCTGGAAATATCCATGTGAATAAAGCATCTTTATGAATTTCCTATGAGAGTGCAAAGTCAATACCCCTTTATCACTAGTCGATGCCCATAAATTGCTTAGCAGCACGTCCGAATTCCTGTCCCGAGCTCATTACATGATTAGTAATGTAGCCTCTATTATAAACATTTTACAGCAGATGTTGCTTAGAGTAATATTGTACTTTTAACAATCAGGAAATAAACCCTGTTCTTTTGTGCTTTTAGTCTTAGGTTTCGAGCTAGCTGTAATTTTGGTCCCTATATTATCACAATCCAAGCTTTGATTGACAAGTGATCTAGTTTATCATTGTTGTTAAAGCTTAAACTGAATTAAACAAAATTCCATTCAGACTTCTTTGCTAACCACTCTGAAGCACCCTCGATCTTCCTTTAGACCATATAATCACGCTGTTATCTTTTTCAGGGAATGGTGGTTTTCACTTTTTACATGCATAAATTGAACTTTTAAGTAAGAAATAACTTCAAAAGGTAGGAGGAATTGAAAAAATCTGTGAGTTAATCATTTATTCTCCAATAATTTGACCTTGTTAACTTTGTTCAATGCATGGGAATTGAAAGTTAATGTGCTTAGCCCAAAATAAAGGGATTATAGTTGAAATTAATGTGCTAAGTTAAAGAATATGTAAGGATTAACGTGCTAAGCCCAAGGGAGTGACCTATCAGCAAGAGTTTGCGTGACAACTTTGGAAACCATGGTTTGTATCCCTACAAAGTCGACTCTAGGTGAAGTCTTCCTATCTGCCCAAGTATTAGGAGGCAGAAATTACCTATTCAAATTTGATTTCTATTATTATCGACTCCTATAATGAGAATAAGATGGAATTTCTCTCAATAATAGCTTATTGTACTTCAAGAGGTTGTATTATTTCTGTCAGCTAACTTTCAGAGGACAAGAACTTCATAATTCTTGAGTCATTTTTAGTCTGCAAACAAAATCCAACAGATATCTTTTTTTTTTTTTTTTTTTTAGCTAATCAAGGCAAAACTTTTTTTTTTTTTTGGATGAAAATAATTAGAGCGAAAAACTGTAGTCCAATTGCAACACAACAAGATGGGAACATAATCTCTTAACATATCATATTTCTTATCGAGTTCTTTTTTCTTTTCTCATGCAGCGAGTTCCAAACGAGGAGAGGAGGAAGGAGCTTGGAGATATTGAAAACCTGACAGAAGATAAAATTGAAAAGATTCTGCAGAAATTTTTGCATGATCTGAAACAAGATGCTCTTGAAGTAAACGGCTGGCAGATAATGCTACCAGCCTATAGCATATCGAAAGTGTCACTTAATGCTTATACCAGAATTCTTGCAAGAAGGTATCCGAAAATGTGTATCAATTGTGTCCATCCTGGATATGTCAACACCGACATAAACTGGCATACAGGAACAATGCCTGTAGAAGAAGGAGCTGAAGGCCCGGCTATGCTAGCTCTTTTGCCAGATGGAGGGCCGACTGGTTGCTACTTTGATCGTACTGTGGTAGCCGAGTTTTAGATCCTGTTATGAAACAAGGCATAGCGAAAGACGCGTCTCTTAGTACTTGGTTGGATTTCTGAGCTGGGATGATGTCTGGTGGTTATATTTGTAGTTGAAATAATGAGGGAAGCAAAGAATAAAATTGATCCTTTTATGTGCCCATATCACCAGACTTGTTTTAGAATGAAACATCATTAACGTTTTTGCTATATTTAATCATCAAGTCTAACAAATCAGTGTCATGAATCACATTTACTATATGGTTCTCCAGGACAAAATGAATTCAACTAATACACTTCTTGGATGATAGACTAGGAATTATGTAGATGGGTAGATCTCTATGTATATGACATGATCTGTATATACAACTTGGAAAAGACCATTCTCATGAGTCATGACTCGTCAATTAAAGATGCTTAAGCAGTCCTGGAATAGCAAGAAACAAAGTGTACTTACTAGATCCGACGCAGAAGTCAAAATATCAATGAATATCAGCTAAGCATCATGTGTTGAAATTTCTTGAAATATCAATAATTTTTCTTGAAATAACTAAAGTACTCTTAAAGTTATTTAAACAAAAGATGTATAAATTTAAAAGTATCTTCCCAAGGAAAATGTTAGGATCAAGTGCTTACCATTATGCCAAAAGTCACTGCTTATATCGGACGCACTTTATTTCTTAACCAAGTCCATCAAGCAAGCATACCCCACCAATCACCTAGGCATCGCCACAGACAGGAGGATGTTGGCAAGGATGAAGGATGGAAATGGTTTTGTTTGGAAAGAATATCTCGGGAGACTATATCCTTTGACTGATTTCAGTGTATAAATAAGTATTTGGTTTAAAAATACTTTTGGTATTTATTAAATGGTAAATACACAAAAAAAAAAAAAAAAAATTTGACCAACTTATAAACTTACCAAAATACACTCGTAATTTTAATCAAACTAACGCTAGCTACTTGTAATGCAGCCGTGGGAAAACATGTTTCAAGAACACCCAACAACAACAATATATGACTAGTGAAATCTGTTTTTAATAGGATTTCGGCTCAAGGAAATAGGAGGTCAAGAAGCAGTAGCAACAACCATTAAAAAAAAAAAGGAAATAGGGTGTGAAGAAGCACGTTATATCTGGATCTTGAAACTTGCAGCTTCCCATTTTCCAATAGTTGTTGTAATACTAGTTATTTTAATTGTAGCACTGCAAACCCATTTGCTTTATTATACTTGAAGAACTCACCAAGTTTATTCTGTCTGTCTCTCCCGTTGCAGGTGAGTCCATCCATTTTTCTGGGCCTTTTGTTTCTTCTTTTACGTTTATATTCGGTCTTGGTAGTTTAGTTTAATGTTCTGATCAACACGTTGACTGTCACTGTATTTGGATTCTCTCCATTTTCGTAAAACTTTAAGCGAAAAGACATGCTCCTTTCAGTTAAGTTTATTCGTAAAAAAAATAAACAGATTAATTTTTTTGGCAATAGCAACTTAGCAAGCCTTGAATCTTTCTGAGCTTCATAGCAGTTGTAATAAAGTCAAAAGGCACTTGCTCAGAAAATCTTCCAACCTCAAAGGATTCTCCGTTAATGTAGACAAGGGGCAGCTCCAAGGTATTTCGTTCTTCCTATCCTATCGTGTCACTCCTTTTGAAATAGTGTTCCTTTTTCTTCTCCGTACAGGATTCTAAGAGAGAAACTTTGGATTGAAGTGATGGGAGATGCTGGTAGGTATGCAGTTGTTACAGGAGCAAACAAGGGACTTGGCTTTGAGATTGTCAAGCAGGTAGCAAATTCAGGTGTGACCGTCCTCTTAACAGCCAGAAACGAGAAGAGGGGAATGGAAGCAATATCCTTGCTGAATAAACAAGGTTTCCCAAATGTTGTTTTCCATCAGCTTGATGTTCAAGATGCTCAGACCATTGAGTCCCTGGCAAAGTTCATACAAACACAATATGGGAGGCTTGATATTCTGGTAAGATTATGAAAGGAACAATTTCTCATGGTATATAGTTGCTTAGAGTTATTGGAGATAGATTGCTATCTAAGCACATATATAGTTCGAGATCAACATTTTATGTTGGCAGAAGATTCAAAGACTTTTAGCTCCCGATCGATCTTAGGTCTAGTGGTAAGAGCACAGTGCATGATGTGCAGGTTTGGCGCACATCACGGGCTGGAACACTGTCGCAAACAAAACCCTGGTAATTAAATGGAGAATAATAGAAGGGCATTATATTGCACATTATCTACCGAGTTTCGAACCATGCACCACTGGTTCTCGGCTCGGTTATTAATAGAAAAGAGAGAGATAAGATGCCAGTGAAAGTACAAGAGGGGGGGGGGGGTGAATTGTAAATATTTGAACTTAATTGCTTATTAGTTGACTTATTAATTGAGTAGTCGACTAGATATGATAATTCAGCAAATATAGTAAAGGGAAGTAAATTGCAGAAAGTAATGGCAGGAATTAAAGACACCAGGATTTTATACTGGTTCGGATTCAATGTGAATCCTAGTCCAGTCCCCTTGGGTTGCAAGGGAGTTCTCTTTAGTAAATGTGTTTCTCCGAGTACAGTTGTAGTGAATTTGCACACAGTTTCTCAAGCACTCGTTTTTTATACAATGCCTCACCAGTTTATGCTCTCTTTCTTTCCCTGACTTGTTACACAACAGATCTTAGTGAACTACAATGCTTATTTGCAGTAGAACAAAGAGAGTGATTTTGGTTCGATCAAAGTATATGAGACTAGGGTTTAAGACGGGTTATAAATACACAGTTTCTCAAGCACTCGTTTTTGATACAATACCTCACCAGTTTATGCTCTCTTTCTTTCCCTGTCTTGTTACACAACAGATCTTAGTGAACTACAATGCTTATTTGCAGTAGAACAAAGAGATTGATTTTGGTTCGATCAAAGTATATGAGACTAGGGTTTAAGACGGGGTATAAATACTTTGATGGATGGGAAGAATTGATTCTTTCCAAGAATAAGGTAGGGAGCCGTTGCGACTTCTTGATTTCCTTCCTGCAGCAGAGATACGAGTGAAGACTGCTCCTTGATTGTTGGATCTTCCAAACTTAGTCGCGTACCAATCTTCTCATATCTTTCGATCTTCCGTGATGCTGCCCTTGATTTTTGCCTTAACTTAAGGCTTGATTGATTCTCTTCAGCTCAGCTAGTCGTTGCTCTTTGCTGATTGATTTGTTGATTGGATTTCGTCCAGATTTGCGAGTCCTTTCCTTAGTTGTCCAGATTGACTGATTGTATGGTAATCTTTGCTATTTGATTTCTTCCCTTATTCATCATGAATTACTTCAGCAGTCTTGAGGACTCTTCTTTACTTCTTATAATTGATTTCCTGCACATGTATATTATTTGCATCATTAAAACAGAATCTAGCAATCTCCCCCTTTTTGATGATGGCAAAATAATATAGTAATGTAAAGAAGTAAACACCAGTCGACTTGTATTTGGTGCTACCAAGATTCACTCCACCAGATATTTTTCACTTCCTTATACTTGTAGTGGCACTAGCTTTAACCCCATTTGCTTATTATTTTTCAAGAACTTAGCAATTGATTCTCCACCAAATTTGTTCTGTAACTCCATTTGCAGGTCAGTCCATACATTTTACTGGGCCTTAGTTTCTTTCCAGATCTTGAGAAAAATGAACTGTTTGAAATGAGTTTTGATCTTTTGTTTTGGTTGTTTAGTATACTGTTGCTGGTCAACATTTTGGTATAAGTGGATTCTCACCATTTTCTTCTGAAGTACTAGTAAGTAAAATTTGAAGTGAAAAGACAAGCTCATTTCAGATAAGTTTATTAGTAAAGTTTTTCTTTGCTGACTTTGTGAAATCTCTATCACAATACGCTTCTTTTGTGTGATTACAATGATAAGAAAGGTAAGAATAAATCAGTTTGAACAATTGGAGTTGTACAAATATTTCTAGTCCTTTCCTTTTTCTTTTTCATTTTTAAATGTTGCCTTGACCCTGGAGATGGAAAATAGCACATAGAAGTACAGTGAGAGAGTGTTCACAGTACGGTGAGAGAATGTTCTTTATTGTGTGTGTGTGTGTTAAATAGAGATGTGCTAAATGAAAGGAATGAGGATTCATATTGCTGACCCGAACTTGCTTGGAACTGAGGCGTCGTCATTGTTGTTGTTTGTGTTAAATAACAGCGAGGTCAGCTGTAGATACCTCAACTAAACAACCGTATACTAGAGGAATGGGGTAATTCTGTCATTCAAGACTTAGACATATAGGCATAATTCATCATTTGGTCTCTGTTGATATTCGATCCTTTTTTTTTTATAACCGAGAAATCCCGAGGGCTAGTGGTACACGGTTTGAATCTTGGTGGATGATGGGTCACTACTATAACCTTCTCCACTTAAATACCATGCTTTGTGCATTGCAGGGCTCGAAACCGTGACGTAAGCCTAACCCGCACATCATAAGTTACCTGCTTCCCACTAGACCAAAGCCCCGGGGCCATTGATATTCGATGGTTGGAGTTGTTATCTCTCTTCTACTTCTAGTTGGGGCCGGGTGAGGCAGAGGGCTAAAACTTGTAATCTAAGCTGGGGAGAGGAAAGGTTCCTTTTTTTTAGGGTGCTCCCAGGAACAGATCCAGTAGAGACGGGGTGGGGCTCAGAGGATTAGAGCACGTGGCAGAATGATAGCTGAGCTTCCAAAGTGGTTCCTAATAGAACTTTCTAAAACTAAAAAACATATACATATATTTTGACATAAAAATAACCCAGTCTTTAGGAAGTATAAGGAAGTGATCTGATTGGAACCGAGCTTTTGAGAAATCATAGGTTAGCATCCTATCAGTCCAAATGCTAGCTTAAGGAATATACTAGTTTTAAGACCTCATCCAGATGCTTTCTTCCTTTTATTTTCACTTGCCTACTTGTTTTCCTCTTACTTCATGGATGGAACACCATTATCATCAAACTTAAAGGAAATTAATGAGCAAGTCTTGATCATAGTGATCGACAGGTTTCTTTTGCTGGTTAAAAGTAAAGATTGGTAAGTTAATGTGGTAAAATTGTAGGAGGTCATGTACTTGAAAATGTCTAAATCTTACCAGTCTGGATGATAATTTACAAGAAAAACTAAAGACAAAAATTGAAATATGTACACATATATAT